CTGTCTTACATTTCTGCTTACTCACAGAATGATGTGATCTTTTTTTAAGATGTAAAAGTGTCAATTTAGCTGTATCTTAGCCTTGTTTTGTGCAGGGTTTTCTTGATCAGTACCCTGTAGGCATTGCAGAGAAGCTTGACATGAATATAATCATCTACACATGGGGGGAAAAAAAAAGGTTTTTAAGGAAGAAGAAAAGTAAAAAAAACCCAAACAAACAACACAAACCCAAAACCAAACCAACAAACACGAACAAAGAAATGTGCTTTTATTTGTTCCAGGGGCAGTTTGTTGTTGCACTTATTATGCTTCCCTTCCAAAGCACCAGCCTCTCCTATGGAGGTCTGGTAATGAGCAACTTTGCCATTTTTATATTCAAGTTTGTCTGATAAGAGTTAATTTCAATTTTTTTTAGTAATAACTCCTGAAATTTGAGAAAGGTTTGCTTCTGATCAGTTCTGAACAAGTCCTGATTAAAGCATCCAGAGGGATGCTGGCTTTTAGTAGTCTGCAAAGCAGACTGCTTTGTGCTAATGTCAGTGGGGACTTATGTCCAAATACAAAAGAGAAAATGATCATCATGTTTCTGTGGATATAAAACTGAGAAGCATTTTGTAATGACTGTCCAGCATCTCCAGCTCCGTTATCTTGACCTATCTTACAGCTTTACTTGCCAACCTCTTATTTCCAAAATGCAGTCAGCTTGTGAAAATAGGATACGGTGCTTTACATTAATTTGTCAAGCTGCAAAACGGGTAAGGCAACACAGTGCTTTCCTACAGCCTTTGATGGAAACTAGAGGATGAGGGAAAATAACGAGGGACTTGCAAAGATTTAGCTGCAATCTCAGGAATAAACCCTGTAATAGTTTCTTAGGAAACTAATGGTTATGTTTTATTGTATGGTGTTCTAGATCTGTATGTTGGAATAGATGCCACATGGCAGAAAAAAGTATAGAAACACAATTATCAGAGTAGAAAAAGCAATCATTAAAAAGATGGATGGCACATTTAGGAGGATTATCTCAAGCCACTACAGCAGCATCAATCTGCAAAACAGCAGAGTTTTAGCTGTAACAATTCTTTATTGTTTCTCTCTCCTCTCTCATTTTCATTGTGAGGGGACAGAAAAAGTCCTCTCTTACTTAACAAGACAAGTGTAAGTTTCTAGTTTTAAAAGGATTCTTTTTTTAAACAATTAGTGCTTAAGGGAAAAGAGTCTAGGAAGGAACAGTATCATTTTCCCCTTTAGTCCCTTCCCCCATGGCTTTTCCTTTAAATATGATGGAATCCTAATCTGTGCTCTTTAGAGTAGAGGTAATGAAATTACAGAAAGGATGTGAAAAGTATCTGTGAAGGTAAGCTAATACTTTCCATTGTGTAAAACCACAGATATACTGCCTGAAGACACATAATATGAGAAAGTTAAAGGAAAGAAATCAATACGAGGAAAGATTTTATTTTTCATTTAGGTTTTAGAGATCCATTTGGCAAAGAGTTACTTAAGAAGTATGCTTAGGTCCATTTAATTCATTGTTAATTCATCTGTATTTTCAACATCTCTGGCATTCCAAATAGATAATTCATCTTATGCAACTGCAATATGCTTGTTCAGTCAGAGGTCACGCCTGGCATTTCTAATGCAGATAGTCCTGGGTTTGATATTCACTGCTGATAGGAGTATTTGCATCTGTGCACTCCCTGTTTGTTACCCAATGCTGCCTCTAGGATGTCAGTTTATAACTGTTATCATGGCACTTAGTTGTGATGAGGTTTGTGCAAAAGCAAGCAATGTGATATTTTAGAAATAAAAAAGATAATCTTTCTAACATGTGTTCTTGTCCACTCTGGTATTTAGCATTCTCTAATATTAAGCATTTAACAGAAACACTGATTTTTTTTTTTTTATGTGCCTTTAGGAAGAAAGTGGGCCTTTTTCATGTATTTCATCCCAAATGAATCTTTATTTGGCTTATTAATAAACTGACAATATGAAACCATAGAATAAATTGTTTTCCACTGAGTGTCTGTATGTATATTCATAGCACAAACAGGCATATTTCCAAGCACTCAAGTCGGATACTTCAGCCTTAGCAGTACACACAGATGCACATCTGCTATACCTCTTCTACAGATCATGCACATGATGTGAGTGATCATTACGTATCCTTTTACAATGACTTTCAGCCATCTGGCTAATTCTGGGGTGGTGTTTTTCATACTGAGACTCTTGAGAGATGTGACCCTGCTGCTTTTTTGAGGCTGTTGTCTTTTTATTTTCAGCAATCCCTCTTTTCTACTCTATTTAATTTCTTTTTTATTTTTATTTAGCCTGGTTTTGTCTTCCTCTGAATAGTGATCTCAGCCTTACACATTCAGCTCAGAGCACAGTGAGCTCATTAATTTCATACCCTTGAAAATCTGTAGGCATTGCTCCCTATTGTGGACTTACTTCAGTCATCGAACCCTGCAGGAGAATTTGAATTTAGTACTGACTACTTTAATGGCCTGTAATTTGAGCCTATGGCTCTGTGGTCCGTACTTCACCTATCCATTAAAATGGTCTTATTTCTGGCAGTTATCTTAGCCAGAAAGCCTGGTGAGATCTTAGCATTTAGTAGTGAATTTTGAGTCTTGATTGTCTCGGGCAATTACACTTTGAATGTCCATTTCTCAGATCTCGCCTATCCTCAGAAGATTGATACACACACTTAGATGGTTTGTCATTAAATGGATATTTGTCTTTTGGCAGACTCCAACTAATTTCTACCATGGAAGTAGTCCTAGACCGCAAACTGTAAGACCCAAAGACATCTCATTAGATGATGTACCCTGAGTGCTTTGTTACCGTTAAATAGAAACCTCCTAATAGAATCAGGTACGCTCTCTGAGGATGTGAATGGCCAGTATAGCTTCTGTGAAAAAGTATCTCCAAGTTCCAGCTGGGGTGGCCACTGAAATCTGTTATTAAATTTGCCAGGTGACATGGCTTGCCAAAGGTGTGATATAGCCTTGATCGATCCACGCCTTGTTCCCAAATGTCTGACCACTTCTCTGTACCTGCATCCCAGAACTAGCCACTACAAAGGGTCATCCCGTAGTGTGAATCTACACGTTGACCAATCACCTGAAGAAAAAAGGAAGGCTGCTTTCCAGGAACTGTATGTTCTTTGAAAGGTCCATGTGCACAGTCACACCTTAAGTTCCTCTTAGAGGAATTAAGCTTTTGTATGTTATGCTTGTCTCTTCACAAGAGCCCTTATTAAAACTTTTTCATTATTTGAGTCTATAACCCAATGTATCTTAAATGTTATCTCTGTGTGAGTGACAAATTTCATTATGCTTCCAAGTTCCCCTTGCGATTTCAGTTGAACATCTTTATCTTCAGCACTTGTTGTAAGCTGCTGCACACCATTTAACAGTTGAATTTCACCTCAGAGGCAGCTGCATATTAGTGGTAAGTAGCCCAATTCCTGCAAGGTACTTTATGTTCCTTTAAGATGAAGGGTACTACATAAATATAAAACGTCAATCTGTTCACATAACTCTGCGTTGTACATGCTGCTTGTAATTTTTTTTAGTCTCCACAGGTATGCAGAAAATGTGTTCTATAGATGCATATGCTCTATGTGAATTATCAGGAAAGAATTAAAGTAAATTGTAAAGTAATACTTTCTGGTCATTCGCCTGTCAAATATAGCTGTTTTATGAAATTTCATTTAAAACAATGGGTGGTTTGTGAATACCTGTTACCTAATTAAACTTACAGAAAAAAGAAATCAAATGGATATATGATTGAGCGCTCAGCTTTCACAATACTGCTTTGTTTAAAGTAAAATGCTGCATGCATATTAAAAATAATGAACGTGATATGCCACAACCAAAGCTGTTTATAGGAGATCAATATGTGTCAAGACAATGAAGTGTCCTGCCTTCAGATAAGATCTGTAGAACAGCATTAATGAGATGCTACTCACAGCCCAAATAATGTTTCTGTGTTTTACTCATATTCAGCTGAATTGATTCTCCCAGTTTTCTAGATATAGCTACAAATTCATCTTGGGTTTTTATAGCTGTGAGAAAGATGTTGTTTTGTTACAATAAAAACATTTGTTTTGGACTTCAGGTTACTAAAACAGCTTTTCTTATGTTTGCTTGTGTGTTTATGGTTTTAGAATATTGTCTTATTCAGAGTAGCCTTGACACCAGCTGAGTCGGTAGGGTGCTAGAAAAGGAGCATAGGATCATCTCTTGCGGAGGTGAAATTTCATTTAAAACTCTGGAATCTGTAGTCAGTTCAACCAGAGATTTTACACTGATGTGTATCGGAGTGAAAATGAAAGACTTTTCTGCAAGATTGTGCTGGGATGTGGCTACATCCTTGGGGAACAGACATGGTTTGGTTGATGGTTGATTGATGTTCCTCATCAATCAGGGGTGGAATGCAGATATTTACTTTTTAAGGTGGTTTCATAAGTAGTATTTGTTCCTCCAGCCTTCAGTCAGGTGCCACGAGAAGGCATAAAGATGCCGTTTGTTTCATTGGCTTTCCACCTTGATCTCTGTTTCCCTCCCCTTCTGTCATCCCCTCTTCATGGGCGCTAGCTTCCTAGTGTAGGAGCTGTAACCCTTCTGACCGTGCCAGCCTGCCACTCTGTCAGCAGCCTCTTAACTGCAAATGATCTTCATGCTCTTAGTACCTTTACCCTAACATTTATAAAGCATGTGTTCCACACAGGAGAAACCAGATGAGCACCAGTTTAGAGAGAATAAGTAACAATGGAGCTGAGAAAATCTGGGCAAGAAGTGGTACTATGCAGCAGCACGTTCTGCTGACGCTTTCTGCTAAAGTGTACAAGGGTAAATTTTTAGGTGCATTTTGGAAGGAAAAACGGTGTCTTCAAAGAGCCCACCATGGAATTAAGTACTCATTAACAAGGAGTCTGCAGGGTTTTTGATCTTCCAAATACTAAAGAAAAAATATATATCTGTTTTTCACAGGAGAATCCCTTCAAGGAAAGGATTGTGGAATCTTTCTCAGAAGATGGAGAGGGTAGCCTCAGCTTCAATGATTTTGTGGATATGTTCTCTGTGCTCAGTGAAATGGCTCCCAGAGAGCTTAAAGCAATCTATGCCTTTAAGATCTATGGTACTGTACTGGGATAGTTTTGTATGCTTTTTTTTTTTTTAAGTAAATGAGTATGAGAGTGGTGATGTTTTCTTTGGTTCTTTTATTGTTTAGATTTTAACACAGATAACTTCATTTGTAAATCGGACTTGGAGAAAACCCTCAATAAGCTGACCCGAGAAGAGCTAACAGCAGAAGAAATCACTCTAGTTTGTGAGAAAGTGATAGAAGAAGCTGACATGGATGGTGATGGGAAACTAGGATTTGCAGATTTTGAAAACATGATTTCCAAAGCGCCGGACTTTCTCAGGTACTGCTTTAAAAAAACAGATAATTTCTTGCATATTTTCAGGTATTTTTGTAGGATGTCACTGTGTAGTGTATACCCTAACTCAGTTTTCTTTTCTAGATCGTATTCCTGTTCCCTCCTAACTTGAAGAGCTCAATGACTTTTATCTCCTGTGTTTTTTTTTCCTGTTTGTTTGTGTGGTTTCTTCAGGAAAATATTTTGGTTTATTGTAAGCTTAAATTCATGTTGTTCCCAAGCCTATAGCAAGGATCCATGCTGTCTGAACAGGAATGTGTGTATATTGTACACGTGTTATAAATATACACGGAAACACATTGATCTTTTGTGCCGAGAAGGTGAGAGCTAGAGGACATCACAATGGTACAATTCATGCTGGTAGCAGAAAATCAATTAAAATGATTAATTACTGCAGTCTTTCTTCGATCCACTGTTAATCAGTAATTTTTTTATCATTAATATTTTTTTATTTTTGTTGCTGAGTTTCTTCCTAATAATCTGTAGGCAAAACATGGCCATCTAAAGACAGGTTTCTTTCCATGTTTCATATTTAAAGAGAACTTTTGAAAAGGCCTTTTTATTTATAGACAACAATAAAACATTCTCCATAAACTTACAGTTAAGGATGTTACTGAAGTAACACAAGGATAGACCTTCTTTAAGAAATTACAGTTAACCAGCCAGCAAAATAAGGTATTCCCAGACTGGGAGGAGTCTATATTTGAATCTTAAATCCACTGGCAAAGTAGGCTGAAGCTAAAACCTACGTCAAATTTCTCCCCAAATTTCAGTGGTCTGGGTTAACTATGCCTAATAGTAAATGCTTGATAACCTGAAAAAGATTTTTTTTCCATCATCTTTGTTCATACACGTTGTTGTTAAGTTGGTAGTGTTGCTGTTTGTCTGGTGGTAATTGATAATAACAGGTAAGTTCTAACATCTGGCAAAATGAATAATCTAACAATTGTCTGGAGTGCAAACAGGTGTACAGTATGGCTGTAAGTTGTTTTGGGAATGTTGGAACCAGTTTCTGCAGACTTGTGTCTCCTGATAAGTTGGCTGATATCTGAAAAGAAGTTTAGTTTCAATTTTATTTGGGCAGTTAAGGCATGGAGACCAGTTTGTCTGTGTAGATTTTCTGACGTCTGGAAAGGTGCAGAATTATTTCTGCATCTTTCTATGAACTGGAACACTTAGAGACTCTTGTTTACACCGCTGCCTGTTTGCAGGAAATTGGCAGAAAGTTAAATCATCTTTCAGTCGCATGTTGTTGAACTCTGCCAAAGGACTCAGAAGTTACTGGGGAGGATTAACAAAGGTCGCAGTCAGACTGATTGAATAAATTGAATAAACTGTATTTTCACAGGAAATAAGGCTAAACATTAGGATAGAATTAAGATAGATCAAAATGTGGACTGATAATCTTAATGCTAATGGTGTTTAAGAACTTTTAAGTGTTCTGCAGAGCACAGAACAGTTTATTTCTTTCATAAATGAAATTTCTGAGGAAAGACGCTATAACAAAATGATTTTACAGTAAAGCACGAGGACACAATTTCTGTGAACCCTGAGAAACATCAGCATCTTGAGAGTATATGCTACAAAGTTAATGTGAATATCTTTTATACGTTAGAAACATAACAGGCATTCCTTGACTAATCAAGTGTATCAATGGAAGCTCTTTTAGAACAAGATACATATCACCATTATGGTGAGGCTTAGCTGAGTAGGTAGTCTAATATTTTGTTTACATATATTTCCAGCTTAAAAAAAGTTTTCTTTATGCTGTTAGCCATATAGAAGCTTCTAGGATCAGGTAGAGTTTCCTTTAATAAATCAAAAGGCTGTACTGTATCTACAAATCTGGTAGGGAACAGAGATCAAATGCGAAGAATTGAAGGCAGGTCTGAAGACTCAGCAGAAGCTGTAGGTTCAGATGTTTCCTGTGCCATGACTGACTTTACTGCTGTGTTGTGGAGGCTCGCAAACTGCTGACTGAGAATTCCAAGCTGAGGATGCTGTGCAATCCAGTAACTTCCTGAGAAAGTAGCAGCGGGGGAATATTTGCCCCTGTAGCCATTAGAATGACTGTCATAATTATTGTTCTTTTCCAAGTTTGTGATATTTTGGGAAGCTGAGGAAATGGGTGGAAAGACCTGAGTGATGGGTATTCAACAGGGCAAGAAAAAAAGAGTAAAAAGAGGGATGGAGTGAAAAGTACAGAGCTTGTTATAGATTAGATAAAGATAAAATAGGGAGGGATTGCTGACAATACCGATAATCTCAAAGGACCAGGCTACCAAGTATTGGAAGACTGGTCATCCAGTTGCTCAGTTTAAACATATATACTTTCATCCGTGTCTGTGACATGGTGAGCTCAGGTTATCAAGATGTCTCCTTGATGTTCAAGATGGCAACATGTATATTTAAGGCAAATTTTTTCCATCCCTGGCTTCAAGGGAAATGGTAACTTCCCTCTCCTTTCATGGGTCAGAAGATTAGCTGGGTCACAGATTCACCTCTGAAGTCCTCAGGCTTAAGAGCTCCTGAAGTGACGTGACCAAAAGAAGGGTTTCCTTCCACCTTCTGGCTGAAACACTGGTTTAGAGCCTCTGACTGTTAACTCAGCAACATGTTTTTTTAACCTCTGAAGCTATATTGCAAAATGAGGATGTAAATGGAAAAAGTCTCAGAGCTGAGAAGAGAATGTGTAGTTTCTCTGATTTGGTTTCTGTTTCAGGCAGAGATAACAGCTGCAGGAAAAGAAGGTGATGTGGTCATGAGGCCACTTTTATCCAAACCAATCTGTATGGAAGACTTGTTACCTGTTTACTGTTCTTGCCTGTAAAGGTATTTTATTTTGTGAGGACATTTTTAGTCATATTTTTGCTGTATGCACTGCATCATAGATTGACATATTTGTTAGTACTGAACTTCCTGATCTGAGCCACTTACTCTCATTTTTTTTTTAAATACTGGGTAAATGTTGCTTTCTAAAGGGAGACAGTGATTTGACTTCTGGGATGGGGTCCATTGAATTTTGATGCCACAATAGGTATACCAAGGTCTGACTGGGGACTGAAACTAAACCAGCGCTCTCTGATAGTAGCCAGTGCGTGCTAGCGTGTGATGGAACGTGTGACATGGGACAACAGTGCAATTCCTGTAGCTGATCTCTCACCACAAAAACCCCAGTTCCTATTCATTGAGTTCAATTGTACCATAAGAGTCTTGGACACATTACCTACTAATTTAATGAAACAACGTTTTCTTTTATCTTTCTGAGCTTCTCTCCAGCTCGATTCATGGCCTCTCATTTTTCTCTCTTCTGTGTCTCCAGCTGTAATGGTCCTCTAAAGTGATAACCATAGGCTGTGTGCAGCCGAACTGAAGACAGGGCTGTGCAGTTTCACCACGTAATATAATACAGAACATGCAGAGCACAGGAGGTGTCTTTTAATAGTGGATCAACAACCCTATATGCCAGTGGCAAACTTATGCCTGAACTATCTTCTTAGTATTGTAAAAAGATAGGAAAACGTGTTTTCATCTAAATAACATTGTCCCTTTTGAAATCTTCAGCAGGCGCATGGAAGAAGTACCAACCTGTCAATGTCCAGAGACAGTAATTTGGTTTTGCACATCTCTACTTTTTGTGCCCAATTGAATGCATTCCAGACTTTAAAGTTAAGGAAGCCTTGAGTGTCTATTGATTTATGCTTTCAGCTGCTCAGCAGTTGTGAAAATTAAACACCTAGGAACCAAAGCAATAGCCACTTTTGAAAATGATTGCCAGTGAGCAATTGGAGATGCTGGGTAACTGCCATTTTCAGACACTTTGCTGGAAAGCTATGGGCAGTCAATAATTCTGAACATCCGATCCTAGAATACCATACCGTGTGCGATACTTTTGAAAATACTAACATACTAGACCCCAGATTATTTTTATCCGTACTAAAGGATTTCTTATTCTGTTCTTTGCCTTTTCCCCCCCACCAAAACCCACTTCACAATGTAAGAGTAGGAAACTCAGGATGCAAGGCAGTTAGGTTTTATCCCTGGCTCTGCCACTGCTTGAGCAAGTGTTCCCTGAATTTTGTTCTCTCTGCTCTGGTTACATGGGATCAGTGCTTACCTGACTTCTGGCAAACATTGAGAACTTACATGAATTATGCAACTGTAAAATCTCATCATCATTAAAATGAGGTATGAAATTGCTGAGGGGGAATACCTTCTTTACCCTGTTCGTGGAAAACCTTTGAAGGCCAGATTCCTATAACAATGTACACTCTGTTTTTGGAGCACTTTTTTCACACAACTCAATATGTTGGGGGTTTTTAAGCTGTCATACTATCATGCATACTTAATGTATACAGCAGGCATTGATTTTGGCACCATGATCCAGTCGTTGACCTGGTATGAGCTAAATTTCATCCACTGTACGTTGACTGATTTTTTTTTCCTTATCTCATCACTCATTTCACAAAGCTTTACTTAATGACCCTGTGTAGGTTTAATCTCGTGCAGACAGCCTTTGCAAGCTTTGTACTGCTGTCAAGCAAATGAAGATGCAGTAAAGTCTGTTGCTTGATTTGCACTGCTGTGGTTGAGGAATTTTTTTAAGACTAGAAGAAAACACTGCTAATCGTTGACCAGGGAAGAACATATATGCATTTTTGGCTGCTATCCCGGAAGCTTGAGTAAGCTGTAAATGATAATGACAGTTGCTAGTTCAGAAAATTTGATCCCAGTAGGCTTATTTCACTCAAAATTGCTATCATTAAGAAGCTACTTGTAGTTTAATGGAAGTATTAGCAGTCTGAACTGGCACTAGCTAAGTGTTCTGTTCTACAAGACTGGTTATGTTTTCCACAGGAAATTGTTTTATAAATCATCCTGGAAGTTTAAGCTTATTTGAATGCCTGAGGATGAAACATACTATAGCAATTTGAAATGGAGTTTGAGAAGAATATGGCATTAATGACACCTGGGAGCTGGCAGAACTAGACAGAGAAACAGCAGATTGAACAGAAAGATGTCATTGGAAATGCAGTATTTCTGAAACCTTTGTGAGCCTTCACCCATACAACAGTTGCTGTCCTGACTCCAATCGTACCTAAAGCTGAAGCTAAGAAGCTCTTACAGGAAATGTACATCTCATAAGACCTGTCCCAACATGCAGCTTATCTAGTTCTTAAGGACTAAAATCAGAGCTAGTGACAAATGGGCAAGAGATGCTTAGCAAGAAAACAGTGGAAGGGAATAATTTTTGTTGGAATTTTTCACAGAATATTTCAGTTGCTTCTTAGTAAACAGCTTAATCTCTAAATGCCAAAATGACACTCTGATAGAAATACAGAAAATTTGCAATAAATAGATCTCCAGTGAAGTGGATTTGGATGGATTTTTTTAAAGGAGTCGTGCCTAAAATATTTTCCCATATGCTGTGGATTTTTTAGTTCCTAGATGTTGCCTATGTGGGGCTTAAATTTTCAAGTGTTTGGATGATTTGTGGCTCTAGACATTTCTTGAGTTGTGAAGATGATGCTTATAATTCTTTTTGTCTAAAACCGTAGTGCTGGTAAGTTCTTTGCATCGCTATGCTTTCTTTCACAATGCTTAGGCTAATATGCCAGACTGCTATACAACGTACCTTCCAGTGTCACCCAGCCTGAATTAATTCCTAGATAGGAAGTCCCTAGGGACCACTGTGAACATAAAATTTTATCTGCTCAAAATACATACCCAGAGCTTCCTGCAGTGATTTCCTCATTCCAATCAAATAGCTGTGATTAAGTTAGAGCATTCTTTTTGTAAAACAAAATCCAAAACCTGTACCTTCAAAACTCTTCAGCCTCTCAAATACTCCAAACGTTTAAAAGTTTTCTTTTGGCGTAGGCACCAAAATTCTAGTATTTACATATAAAGATACATAATAATCCCTTCTAATTTCAGTCAAGGAAGAAACATATGGCTTATACTGTCATGATATTGAACAGATATTACTTCCTAGAGAAAGTGAGCTTTCGGCATGCCCTCTTTAAATTGTCTTTTACTGTCCTGCTAAGATGCTCAAGACTTCTGAAAACTGATGCCATTAGTAAGGCATGCTGCTTGCCTGTATTGTAGTGCAAATAAGAAGATAACAATCAGGATCTCTTGGTCCTAGCAAGAGAAACAACAAATTTATCTGCCTAATTCTACTTGTTTAGAAACCCAAATGCTGCGCCATAGCAAAAGTGCAGTTGGGAAACATTTAGCTCTGCTGTATCTCCAAATAAATAGGTCAGCTTATACTTGATTTAATGCAGTGCTGAGCTTGGCCCCCTGAGCTAACATTTTCAGAAGACAGAAATTTCTCCCAGGATGTTTAAATCTTCCTGAGAGCGTGAGAGAAGATTCAGATTAATTAAACAGCACCTTCCTTTTTGTACTCTAAGGAAAATATTGTGCATAATGACAAATGTGTTTATATATCTTAATCTTTTTCTTTCCTTTGCAGTACTTTCCACATAAGAATCTGAAGATGTTTCTGTGAGCCAGTGTTATCAGAAAAGACTTGCCAGTCCAGCCTTTCTGAATCTCAGGCACTTTGGGGGCTTTTGTCCTCTAATTACGACTTCTTAGAACTCAGCAGAAAGTCCTGAAATCATTCTGGTCCACAAAGAGACAGAAGCATTATGTGATCTACAAGATATTTGGAACAGCCACGTTTTTATCTTCACTGCTGGCCAAGCACTCTGGCAAAGATGGTTGGTTGTTGGCTTGTGGTTTTTCTTTTTTTTTTTTTCTTCTTTTTTTTTTAAACAGGCAGAATCAGAATATTATTAAAGGTATTTCCACATAGTTTTTATATTTATGAATATTTAATATTGCTCTTAAAAGCGCAAAAAAAAAGAAAAGAAGATTGACAGGAAGATTAGCTTTGGTGACTTTTCTAAGAGTATTTGAAAGAAAGCACAGGCCTTAAATAGTGAGATGCCTCTATCACTGTGTTGTACAGCTGGGGATCTTGCATGGAAATTATCTTGGGTGAAAGAACTGCAGTCAAGATCAAGCTCCCAGTGTTGAAGACAACCACATCCCAGGTTTGCCTTTCAGTGATTGAAATGGCAGTTGCTGGGTTTGGTGCTTACCTTCAACTGATATTTTACGGATTGTTGTGTCTGTATGAAACTTGAAATATTTGCCTTTTGTATATGATAACTGCATACATGATTAATTTCTTCCCAAGATAAATGTTAAAACTGTGCCCTTATTCTCAAAGGGGGTCTTGCATTTTACTCATTCTATGGGCTGATAATGTTGAATGGAAGAATATGATAATCTGTAACTCATTAAGAAGTTAAAGAAGCACAGAACTACTACTGAGGACATGAGAAGACATTTTCTTTCTAAACCAGCTATGCAATCTTTCCCATAAAATGCATGAATGCAGCTCTCAATTTCTCTTCCCTCTCCAGCTGGAAATCAGCTAGATTTTTTTTTTTTATTCCAGTATCGTTTAGGTACTGGGGCCTGAAGACAATCATATGTGTATTACTGTTCTAACAGTCAATAGAAGGGCTCTGTCACTTACATGGCTTCTGTATCAAAGTCATCACAATTAAAACTTTTGACGCATTCTGTCGTGCTTTGAGAATTTTTGGGCTAAGCATATACTAAGTTCCTTTCTGGTCATTTTTCCAATTACTGTAAAGTTAAAATCTTTCAAAAGATTAAATGTGTTATTCTTATTGAAGAAGTTGTTAAAGTAGAGAAATTAATCTTTTTACCGTTTCTGTAGGGATGATGCTTACCTACCTCGGAACCTCTTACATATGGTGAGCTTGCAGCGTAGCTTGCTGTTCAAATTTACACAGTATGCATCAAGAAGAAATATTTATCGAGCAGCATGGTTGTACATGAAAAGTGTCGATGGAAATTTTGGATATTCAAGGTATACAGGACAGACTTGCTTAAGATAGCATAGTGAAAATGAAACTTGTAGGTTAGTAACAACATTCCTCTTTAAAATGTTTTCTAGAGTGATCATATTCAGTGATGTTTATAGCATTTTAATACTTCCTCCTGGTTTCTGTTTAGATAAAGGAACTAGAGGCTGAATTCCCTTTCATTTATTTACCCAAGTTAAAATTAGCATAAATTAATCCTGATACTTGGTTCTGATTGAGTAAGAGACTCAAGCTTCTATCTTTTTCATTTTGAGCAGATTAAATTAGATGTATTGGTTGATTCAAACAATTTGCAAGACCCTGGCATTAAGAGAGATTGTGTTTAAAATTACTTCCTATTCATTGAAATGTCAACCTGGCAGGTTTTTATTTCTTTCAAGACAGACATTTAATCTTGAAGTGAGATGTGGGGTTTGGGTTGTTTTTTTTTTTCTGTCATGATTAGTATGTATTGTAAAATATCAGGTTGCAAGATTCTGGATCAGATTATTCAGACAAAAAGGATCTGGTGCTGATGACGTAGGTCAGTTCCCTTTGACGTAAGTGTTCTTCTATGTTTTAAAATTTCTATTAGCTAAAATCCTTTCCTTTCTGACAGCGTGTCATTCCTTGATGATCTTAAAGGTTTTTTCCAACCTAAATGAGTCTATGATTCTATGATTCCACAGTTAGATCATCCTCCCCACTTAAAGAAAGCCCTCAGTTGCCTTGGAATGTGCTCAGTGTGTTGTTTCCCTATGTCCTCCCCAACCTAAATGTCACAAAGCAGTTGAAGAGACACTTGGGCTTGCAGTCAGATGTTTAACTCTGGAGTCCTCTGTGTGAGCTGAGAAACAAAGCAAAAAAGAAACCAGGAGTATCCTGTGAAGGAGTATTCCTGTCCACAGTTAAAGGAGAATTCTTGCAGGGTGTTACAGTTACAAATGTATGCAGTTGTCCTAACTCCCTTGATTTCTTTGACTTATCTTCATCTCCTGTAATAAAAACGCGAGCAACATAGTTTGTTCCCAGAGTTTGAAAGAGATACGTACTTTAAATGCTTCTGGAGCAAAATAATCCTACCTAATAGTAGGTAAGTTGTTATACCACCTGATAGCAAAGGTAAGAGGTAGATTTCTAAAGAAGCTTTGTATTTGCAGTTTCTTGGCTGTCTGTAGCTGGATGTCTTACCACTGAAACCTTTGTTATAGCAAGAGTGTTGAGTGAATAGGAGGGCAGCATGATGCACTGCAAATTTAAGTGATGTTATGAGGTGAAAAAAAAGCTGTATTTCTGCAATAGCATTATTGTCAGAGTTACAAATTCATTAGCAAGTGTTTCTTCAACCAGGCTCGCTTATTCAAAAGGAGCTATCAGGCAATTTAGAAAGAAGCTGAAGCAGTGAAAGAGATTGAGATTTAAAACAATTTTGGATTTGGCCTTAAAAGCAATAGGGACGTACATTTCATATAGGAAAAAAGGTTTTAAATATGAATGGGCATTGCTGTATTTGCCTTCAGAATGGACAAAGAAAAAGAAAAACTATTAAAATAGTGACATGTGCATGTTGTTTCTAGTTTACATACACTCAAAGCATCTTAAGGACAAAAAGGAGCTAGTGGAAGTGACTAAGAGTGTCAAAAAGCAAGTAATAACTGAGTTACTTACTAACACACTTTAGTTTGTCATTGTTTTCAAGGACTATCGTAAGCCAAGATTTATAATAACAGTCTCGAGGCCAAAGTCTGATCTTCATTACTTCCTTATTAATCTTCAGTAACTCTGCTGGCTTCAGCAGAACGAACTCGTATGTCTGTAATTGGATCTGTGTTGAGGAAAGCAGTTGGGTTTTTGCTGCAGTTCTTTGTGCTCTCTCGTGCACTTTTAATGTAATCTTAAAATGCTGAATGTTCTTTTGTTAGTCGGTAACCACAGGCACCTCTTCGTCGACAGACTCAGTGTTGGAATCTTTTGCAATTTCTCGCAATTGCATAGAAACAGTCTCCTTCCTTTCCCCCCCAGGGCTGGTTTTTGCCTCCTTGTACATGTTAGAGGCACTTCTGACGCAACATCACAAGGTGGCACCATAACATCGTATCAGGTCATGACTTCATTTCCCTGCTTAAATTTCCTTGAAACGTAGGATACTATACAGATGCTGGGGGGGGGGACAGGAAAAAAAAAACAAACATTAAGACTGTGGTTAATTATTGATTTTAAAACTGTAGATAATTACACAGGACGTTTCATATTTGATAAAATTCATGAAGTTAAATCTTATGAGGGGCAAAACTGAATACTTTTGAAACGGGTACATGAAAACTTAATAATTTTATAATTTGTGTATAGGAGAATTTTTTCTTGATACATGCTAATTGGATTGTGACCCAGTATAATGATGATACTCCTTTACAGTATTTTCAACTCTGTCTCAAATGCAGATATTGTAATTTTCCATACAATTACTCATTTCCTTTTGTGTGATGTTGGTCTTTCATATCTGATATTGATCAGAATAATGGCTTAATTATTTCCTCTTTCATAAGTTAATGTCCTTTTACTTCCATCTGTTCCGTTTTGCTGTCTTTCAGTATCATTGGATATTTTTTCATTTTTTTCATTATGAAATAGGCGCACCTCATGGTTTTTTGTTTGTAAAAATTATTATTTCGTATCATCTGTCATGTGTTCTGTGGAAATATGGTGGCCCTAGCTGTTGCAGGTAATAGCAAACTGTTGATTTATAGAAAGTTTTCTGTATTTTCTGTCTTATCCTTTATAAGTTACACTGGCTTGTTTGCCATAGAACAGTGATGAACACTAAGTTGAAGTCTTTATAGGTTATCTGTGATATTTTTATCTTTTTCTTGGCATGAGGAAACACAACAGCGGAGTAATTCAACTTATTTTAGATGTGCATTATCTGATGCATTGAAGTTTATCTCCCATAATGTTTTCTGTTAACAAGTCTTATATTTGCTGTGAAACATCCCTGTCTCAGATGACCCACGTATTTAGTTGTCAGTGGGACTTGGGCATATCTCTCATTCAGCATACAGCAAATGTACTGTTCTGAGTAGAAGTGTTTCTTTGAATTAAGGTCAAACTGAGGTAAGGCACCATATATAACATAATTTCTCTTCTTCCAGAGATGGACTCTGTCCCAGTGTTTGTTGTTTTTTTAATGACAACAGCATTTTAATAAAAATTGGGTTTTATTTTTAATTAATTTAGAATTAAATCAATTAGTTTAATTTTAATAAAAATGTTTTTATTAAAATCCCTGAAAATGGACGTGTATGTTAAAACTTTAAAAAATAGGCATTTTGTTGCAGAAACCATAAAGCCTCATATTCTAGAGACCTGAATAGATTCAAGTTATATTCTGAAATAACAGAAGTTAGCTAAAGTAATAAAGTAAGCTAGAGACAGAGGCTTTGGTAACAATGTGTTTGTGGAATGGGAAATATTACACTTGTCAGCTCAGGATCCATAATCAATCAATTTGGGCTGAAACAACAGCAGGATTAAAAAGAGCTTCTACTGTTATTGCCCAACACACCTCAGCTGGGACAGGCAGCAGGATAAAA